GATCCGGCTGAGAGGGCTGCATTCCTGCAAATGGATTAATGCAATCTGCCACCAATAGGGGTTCAGAAAGGCTGTAAACCCAAAAGGAAACCATTACAGAAAGAGGGGGGGTCACCAACAACAGGAGCTTCATCCTGCAGACATCAGGGCTTTAATTCCAGATGTGAGAGGTTAAATGTGTGTTTGAAGCTCCATGCATCCTGATAAATTCTTTGAACTGAAAGACCAAACCTGTTCTGGTAAATAGCTCAGATTAAAAAATAAAAGTTGGATTTTCCTTCTTATTTCAGCCAGTTTTACTCTGGATCTCCTCCAGCATGCAAACAACATCTGACCCCACACCTAAACTCAACATTTCTTATGTGTCGTGAATAAAAACGGAAAAAGTGAAACGAAATGTTGGAAAACTGCTGAAAGAATCTGGTTATTTTTTCTTGGGTCAGTTTGGTTCTTCTTCTGCTCGCTGACCCACAGTTTTCCGCCGGTCCTCCCAGATTTGCTGTTTCAAAACCCCTTTAAGCATGAGACTCCACAAAGAAAGTTTCTCTCAGGTAATCAAACCAGAAGAATATAAAAGTTTTAATTTAACATGAGCCTGAATAAAGGTGCTGAAAGCATGTCTGAATGACCACAAAATTCTTTCACAGAAATGAAAAGAAAAAGATCCTTCAATTACTTAATCACTTTATTTATCAAGGCTATCGGGGCTTTGATGACACTATCAGGCCCTTTCAGCCACTCAGAGAGTTTTCAGGGCTTTATCAGCCTAACTAAATATTTTTAACAAAGAGCTTCCACCTTTCCAACATCACATTTTCTGAGTCTGCAGCTGAAGGCAAATCGATGCCTCATCCGTTATCAGTTCTCCCTGTGGCTGATAGTCGGATCACAGTCAACAAACTGGCGTTTTAAATCCGAGTAATCGGTATTGAGAGTCACAGCATGTTTCTAAAAGGTGCTTTCAAATGCTTTTCTGCTCTGGAGGAGAGCGGAGAGCTGATCTGATTGTGTTTCCACTTCAGTTTCTCATAAAACACAAATGAAATCCAAACATTTGCACTGCGGGTTGATTTTCCAAAGTTGAATTGAAGCACGTTTGATCATTTATCCGGCTAGGAAATGTGAATATACTCAATATATATATATAGAGAGAGCTGTGTCTCAATAATTCATAGCATGAGCGGGTACATGAAAGCTGGAAAACTAACAAGAAAAAAAAAAGACGATTAAGAAATATAACGTTGTGCATTCAGGATTAATGAGACACAAAGTGTAGCCAGATGTTTTCCTTTGTAACGTAGAGAGTCAAATTAATAATTTGAGTCATTTCCTGTGATTGTCCAGAAGTCTGAGGCAGTTTCTCCTGTCTTGGTCTCCAGGCTTTCTGTGTGAATGTGGAAAAGAGGCAGAAAGAACAGACGACCGGCTCTCTGTAATCTAAAAATATCAGCAGCCAGGAAAAGCAAAAACGGCCACTTGCATCCATGCTTTTACATATTTTTAGTCACCGTAACGGCAGGTGGTTTTTCTGCTGCCTGTGAGGGAGCAGGACACCCAGAAAACAACCCAAAGAAGGTTTCAGAGGCTGAGAGGCTTTGATTTGCTGTGGAATGGAGTAAAGATGATGGACGAAGATGGAACTGAAACGTAGAAAAGATGCACAGCCATTAGGAAGGGATTCAGTAATATTAATGTTCTGGTGATGTCAGGCCTGGACAGACAAAATAGAAATATTATTCAAATCTTTACACCTCTAGCAAAGTTCTGCTGACATTTTGTGTCATTAACTGTGAGCTTTGAGACTTTCCTGATTCCAGATGTGAACATCTTGATGCTGGATCACGGTGGAAGCTTTGAATATTTTAAAACGTTTTTTAGTGGTACTGTCTTTTTGTGTCGGCTCGGAGGAATAACGTGTGTGTGTGTGTGTGTGTGTGTGTGCGTGTGTGCGTGTGTGTTTGTGTGTGTGTGTGTGTGTTTATCTCTGGTGATGCTCTGTGCTGCTCTCTCTTTCTGCCTCCTCCTTCTCTTGTCAATGCTCCCCTCCAGTGGCAGAAAAGCTCCACAGCTACCTCCAACATCTGCTTTTGCTCTTCAGTTACTATCTGTGGTCGGCTTATTGAATCCATCAGAGTGTCTGTAAATGTCTTTAGGGAACTCGGCTTTGATTCGTGCTTTGACAGATTCAGGTGTGACGTATTTGTGGACATTAACAGACCAACAGAAACAGGGAAGTTCACATTAGGGTGCTCATCAGGAGCACCTACTGTTACGGTCCAAAAACCAAAAGGCTTCAAGTAGTTCCTCCTAAATGACTCAGGTCCTTTTTAGTGTTTTCATAAGTGAGTAAAAGCTCAGACTAAGTGGGCTGTAATAACCCCTCAGCTCGTCTCTCAGTGGGCATTCTGGTTAAATTCTGGTTAAATAGCAGTAAAACAGGATCTCTTGGTGTTTTCTATTCCAAATAAAACCACGTGTGTAAACTGTGTGTGTTTCCTGTGTGTGTTGGCCTGCCTGATGTCCCCTAAAACAGAAAGACAAGTGTTCAAACTCTGGGGGTGAAGTCTGGCTTATGTTTTGTTTACACTACGTTCAGTCTGGGCTATATCTTCTACTCTATTACTGCCTCTGCTTTCATGTTTGTTTACAGGTAATCCTCCTTCCAAACCCACAAAGAAAACCATAAAGCAGCGCTTCCTTAAGCTGCTGCCCTGCTTTCCCTCCGACTCCAGCTCCTCCATCAACCAAGGCGAGTGTCAGCACCACAATTACAAAAAATAACATTTATTGGGACACAGTTAAGTGTATCAGCTGGGCTCTAACAGACTAAAACCTCTCTCTGGGTCTCAGTGGGCAAAGAGCCCTGAGATCTGGGTGATGGGCATTATCTCCTGGGCTCGATCCGCCTCCTCAAAGGAGGACTGGACACAACCAAGTCCTATTGGCCAGTTACCTCTGGGCAGGAACAGGCCAGGTCCTAATTCATGCAGATGACAGGAATGTGGTAACAAATGGTGTGTGTGTGTGTGTGTGTTGACCTAAAGGTGGATCTAATGCAACAGAGAGAGGAAAATAGAGAAAAGAGAGTCTGTGGACACATTCAGAGACTTTAACACAAAAGTATAGTTCTAAAATGAATAAGACAATCAGTAATGAACATAGATTATGTGATAGCATACAATGCTAAAGTGAGTAATTGTAGCCAAATTCTAACAAGTCCGTTTAGGAAATGACACTGTAAAGCACATCAACCTCTGCATGAGGCTTGGAAAGGGCCATTGGTTTGTTTTTTTATCACTCTGAGTTGCATCTGTTAGACGTTCACTGCATTTCTTGTGTTTTCGGATTGATTTTTAGACCGAAAAATACTAGAAAAAAGCTGTTTTAGATACTGTGAGGAAAGACGCAGAGACTTCAACACAAAATATAGTTATAAAAGGAGTCTGTGATAGCATAAAATGCTAATTACAGATAAACTCTAACCTGGCTGTTAGGGAGCCTGGACGAGGAGGCGGAGTTGTCCACGGTGTGGTACCGGCCCGAGGGGCTGGACCGCCTCGCCCAGCAGACCAAATTCAGCAAGAGGGAGCTCCAGATCCTCTACCGCGGATTCAAAAACGTCAGTCACAGATGTCTGGGACCGTCCCTCTGTTGAGGCGCCCTGGAAACCTGAATAAGCCAAACTAAAGCTGAGTTTCTGACCCGTCTGTTCTCTGCAGGAGTGTCCGAGCGGCGCTGTGGACGAGGAGACGTTCAAAGGCATCTACTCCCAGTTCTTCCCCCAGGGAGGTCAGGACTCACCTGCTCTTGCTCTAGATAGATGTATTTGGAGTTTTTATGACATATTAATCCAAAAATTAGAAAGCTTTAACAACATTTTAAAAAAAGGAAAACGTTGAAAGTTTTTTTTTGCCCCTTTTGGTCTGTTTTACTTCATTAAAATGTAATTAAAATGTAATTAAAATGAATTTAAATTAATTTAAATTATTTAAATGAATTTAAAAAATGTTAAAATTCTTAATTCTTAATTAAAATGAATTAAAATTAATATAAAAAATGTTAAAATGATTTTATTTGCTCTGGATTTCTTGAGATGACATCTTGCAGCATTTTGGTTATTTAAATGTGATTTTAGAAATAAGATTCACCTCTATATTGATGAACATGCTGGATTCTGATCTCTCTTTTTTGTTTTCTTTCCAGATTCAAGTACGTACGCACATTTCCTGTTTGAGGCCTTCGACACCCACAGCCACGGACTGGTCAGCTTTGAGGTGAGACACAGACTCTCCTCTCGCTCCATAACGAGGATTTTTCAGGCAGATTTCTCCACATCTGACGTGCATTTCTCATAGCTCGTAGTTCGCCCTGTTTTCTGTGCATGTGGACCTCATAACCGAGGCTTTGGGTTATGAACAGCTCACCAGTGAAGTGTTCGTTGGCTTTTTCCTGCTGCAGGACTTTGTCGTGAGCCTGTCCATCATCCTGAGAGGCTCCATCACGGACAAGCTCAACTGGGCCTTTAATCTCTACGATCTCAATAAGGACGGCTGCATCACCAGAGAGGTACCGGACCTCCTCCGGGTCTGTGTGAACCGACCCCTGCTGTGTTTCCAGCTCAGATGGTTTCCGTTTCCTCCCTTCTGTTTGCTCAGGAGATGACGGAAATAATGAACTCCATCTATGACATGATGGGGAAATGCACCTTCCCCAACATGAGCGACAGCGCTCCAAAGGAGCACGTGGAGAGCTTCTTTCAGGTAAAAATCATTACAAATCTACTATTTTATGGCTGACAAATTTTGCCAAAAACCAAGAAAAATGACCCAAGAAATGAGTCAAAATCGGTTTTGTCCACATTATCAAAGAGGATCAAGCAGATTATTATTTTTTTGTTCGTTCAATCCACAGACTCAGACCACCTATCATTACTTTTTTTAGGGAAAAGCTGGAAAAAAGTTCAGCAATTTAATCAATTGTTCTGAACTAATTATACGAGCACATTTGTACTCCAACAAGTGTATTTCCTTAACCCTTTAAAGCCCGATCCAAGAAAAATAGGAAGAATATTGGATTTTTTTAGTCTGAAGTCTTTCTTTGGCCCCTCAACAACATATGAAAAAAAAATAACAGAAATCATTTTTATCAAATTAGCGTGCAATAAGTAAAAAATATATTTTGGTGTAGTCTTCTACTGGCTGTTATCAGGTATTTCTGAATGTGTACAACAGGGGTTTGAGCAAAGCTTTTACCACTGAATGATGCAAAAAGTCTCAGATCCAAAAGACTTCAGAAACTGTATCAGATATGATACATTTGGGATTATAAGGTTAAGGAGCAGCCCCCCAGGCCGGTTGAATCACATCCCAAAGCTCTTCTTTAGTCGTGGGCTGCCTTTTGCTCTGTCAGATGATCCCACACATTTTCAGTCGGGTGGAGCTCTGGGGGGGGGTTCATGCCTCCATCAGACCGGTGTTGACTTTCAGTCCTCTTCTTGTGTCATTTGCTCTAGCTTCCATAGCCTAATCCTTTTTTCCTCCCGTTTTCCTTCCTAAATGGCTGACACTTCTTCTCATGTGCTCCACTTGTCCAGTTTTTCTCAAATCATTGGAGACGGTCTGCTGACATATGAGTCATTAGGAGTAAAATGTCAGGAAAACCGGGTCAGTCGAGGACGACTTTACACCCAAAGAAAAAGAAAAACAAGTTTCAGAAGCAAATCATGAGGACATGTATTGCCGTCCTCTAACTCTGTCCTCATAAGTAACAATTATTTAATGTCTCAATAAAAAGGCAAAAAGAAGGACACTTCCAACTGAAAACAAGGAAGTACACGTGTAAGTTAATGAAACTGACTGTGAGTAGCTAATCTCAATCCTCTGTAGATCTCCCTCTGGTCCAGTTTCCGGTATGGTGTTATCATAACGGAGCAGGTTTAAAATGTTTAAAGGGGCCCCTGACTCCCTCGGTCTGCTCCACTCTCATTTAATTTGCAGCTAGATCCCAGCGTAACCCTCCTGGTCTGCACACAGCTCGTTAAAAGGCTAAAAATCTTGAACTGTGTTGACTTTTTCCAGAAAATGGACAAGAACAATGACGGCGTGGTGACCATCGAAGAGTTCTTGGAGACGTGTCAGAAGGTAATTTGAATTGAAATCGTCTCCCCGTTTGATTCCCCATCAAAAGCAACCTGACCCCTGACCTCTGACCTCTTCGTGTCTTCGCCCAGGACGAGAACATCATGCAGTCCATGCAGATGTTTGATAACGCGATCTGAGCGGAGCCGGGGTCCCCACAAAGACCCGAGATCACCAACCCTAAAGCCACCTTTTCTTCTGACGTAGCAAAAGACTGAGCAGAGGGAAGGAGAGGAAAGCCGTTTTCACTCTGAGAGTGTTCTGCTGTCGGCCACCGATGGAGAAAAAAACGCCCGATAGAAAACTAAAAGTAACTGGATGGACGAGCGTTAACACTTTGTCTTTGCACAACGGAGCCACTGTAATAAACTCTGAGTTTAAAATGAACCAACATCCTCACAGCACCTTCTCTCTCTGTCACGTTCCCTCACATTTATCACCAGGCTGCTTGAGGAAAACTGTATATCAGAGAAAAACAAAGAGGAAATTCAACCAAACCTCTATAGAAAACAGGAATTTCATTATTGACCTGTTTAAATGTTTGGGTTGATCTTGAAGAGTTGATCTTGAGTGTCATAAGAATAAAATATGTGGACGGTCCAGATCGGAGTCTGGAAAACTTTCCTCCCGTGTTGTTACTACGGCGACGGGCTTTATGATGTGTGATATACCTGCAGACCCTCCTGAGATTGAGATCTGGGGTCACAGAGATGCTGCTTCCTGGTGTCCATTTCCCCTTTAATGCTTCTGGACTAAGCTTCAGTGAGCTTTCAATTTCGAGTCAATTTCGCTTGTGTTCCGACAATTTCACGACCACTTACGCAGTTCACGTCCCCGTGAAATGAAACTAAATCTCCGTCTCCACGGGACCGGTGTGGCGGCGTGGATCACCAATGTTTCGGGTCATTAGTGAAAAAGGGGGAGTTTTTAGGTTGACCTGTGTTCTGATGCAGTATTGAACTTATATGTTGAGGGCATCAGCGAAGTTCACATCCTCTGGAACACTTTTTTAGCTTCGTTATGGTTGTTTTTCTGTGGCAGGCGGTACCTGGTCAGGCAACTGGAACTGACCAATCAGAGCAGGCCGAGCTTTTCCCTTCAGTTTCTGTCTCCTAATACATTAATATATATAGGTAAAGAAACCCTTGATCTATTTCATGTTTTATTGTGTCAGTTTTCTGGTCTTAAGTGTGTGTTCACACACCTCCAGGCCCAAAGACTTCAGCCGAAACCTCAGAGGAAATAAAGCTGTCTCCAGTAAATCTGAGAGGGGTTGTCAATAAAAAATATTTAGAGTCCATCGTTCAACCCAAAGGATAATTTACATGAGGAAAACATTTAGGGAGGCTCAGTCTTCTCTGGAGTGGACGTCCCAGCAGGTTCAGCCCAAAGGAGCGGCATTGAGCCAAAGTTTAACCCTTTAAAGCCTGATCCAAGAATAAAACAAAACAGAAAATTACTTTTTTTTGGTTTGAATTCCTTATTTGGCCTTTTAACAAAATATGTAAAAAGAAAAAACAGAAATACATTTTTAATATCAATAATTTATTACTAAGTCAAGATTATTTTTTGTGTAGTCTTCTGCCCCCTGTTATCAGGTGTATCTGATTGTGTACAATAGGATTTTTAGCAAAGTTTTTACCATTATTATGCAAAAGGTGTTAAGACGCAAAACATTTCAGAAACCGTATGTATCAAATATGATACATTTGGCATTATAGGGTTAAAATCTAAGCCTGATCCCGGACTCAGGCCCGTTAGCGTGTCGTAGCTCGTCTGGAAGAGGAACTTCTCCTCTTAAAGAATGTGCTGCGGGCATAGAAAACCAAACATACCGGCACAAACAACTCAAACCCGCTGTGAGCACGGCGGGGGAGGGATGATGGTTTGTTCTGCCTCTGTATTCAAACAGATTCCTAAATCCAAACGACTTCACAATCCAGGGCGGCTAACGCCAAACAATGTGAACACAGACACGGACATCCTGTTGAGTTTAATATATCCTTTATTTTTATTAAACAAAATTTCAGTAAAAACTTTTATGAAGTAGAAAGACAAATTTCCCTGTCAGTAGTTCTCTCTCCAGCTGCAGAGCCATCATCTAAACATGTGGACTCCCGACTCCCCACAGCCACACATGAACTTCCTTTAAAATTCACTTTAAAAACCAAGGACGTCTCCGTTAATAAGCTGGAAGGTACGATGGACTTTTTCCACGAAAATAACTTAGAAAAGAAGAGGAGAAATCATAAAACACAAACGGCCGTCCCGCTCTCTGTCGCCTCCGGCTGAGAGAAGTTTTTAAACCAGCAGGAAGGAGGTGACATGAAACGGTGTGGAATCAGAGACAGTGAGTCTGTTAAAAGGCAGAAAAAGCGGAGCGGTGAACAGGTGCACCGTGCAGGTTGAGCCACCTCTGGCAGTGTTTTCAACTATTATTCTCTTTTCGTTTCTCTTTCTTAATAAAAAAAAAAAAAAAAGGAAGCTACATGATTATCGTCGTAAAATAAAATCTCTTTGGCATAGAACACCCACCCAGAAGCGGAAACACACACATACGGCCATACGCGCTCTTCGAAGGGTCTCCAACAGAAACCTACAAGCTTTGTCACCCTCAGAATCAGCACAATTATTCTAGAAAACAAACGTTGAGCCCTGTTAAGATTATGAGTCACAAACTCGTCGATGATTGCATATGTTACATGGGGTGAGGGGCAGAGGGGACCTCTACTGGTGACTATACACGCCTCCTCTTTGTCCCACTGAACTCCACATCAGCGCCTCCTCCGCTCTGTACTCTGAGGGGAGGAAAAAGAAAAGGAGAAATAATGATTTAGTCAAATACAATTCTGATCTTTGTTCCAGAAAGTGGTTCTTTTCACATATGTCACACATTAATTACCAACTATATGATCCCTTTCGTAGCTTTCTGAGGACTGTGTGTTCACTAAGTTAGAACATGCACGCTTCATAAACTTTTAAACTGTCCTCATATTGAGGAACTACCTGAATATACAGCCTCTGGAGCAGTGCATTGTGGGAAATGTATGCCTCCACAGTGTCCAGCAGCATGGACACGTGATCCTACAATGGCCTACTTATCTGTCAATTCATAAATTGAGATCCATTTACTGGATCTCAATTTAAATGAATAAAATGTAAATAAAATTTGAGTTACACAACATAAGGATCATCTAACAATCCCAGGATGACCTTTAAAATAGTAAAACTAGACTAAAAGCTGCGTACAGGCAAGATTTTAAACATGCAGATGGTCAGTTTGGATTAAAATGTGGGTTTAAGGGTTAAAACTGGTCATTCAATGCTGTTTATTAGTGTTTGTTGTTAAGTTTGAATGCAACTTAAAAAAAAATAAAAATGATCAAACTCCAATATAAAACATTTCAGGTTTACAAAAAAAAAAGTCTTCCGCAAGGAAAATGTTTGTCAATAAATGATGAGTAAGAATAACTTGATAAATCAAAATTCTTTACAGTCTTTCTGAAAACATTCAAGGTTCTGGCTCCTTTTAAATAAAGGCTCAGCTCCTTTTTCCTGCTGTTGTTGAATCATTTAAATACTTTTCAGTGGAGTTGGTTGATTTTAGTTTAGGATCTTCAGTATGGAAGAAAAAAAACTTTAACAGGATTTTAATAAGAACTTGACAAACTCTCAGAACAACTTGCTGCCTGTAATTTAAAACAGCTTCACTCTGTGTTTGGCTTTGATTCAAATGTTGTTTTAGGCTAAGCTAACACGGCCTGCTAATAGATAGTGTTTGGTTTTTCCGGTGGATTGGAAAGAAGCCTTTAGATAAACCAGGAGTCAGAAGCCGAGCGTGTCCACCTGAGCCTCACAGCTAAAACTCATTTCTGGGACCAACTCCAAGAATCTGGTTCCAAAATAATCATCTGATAAAAAAATAATTACATTTTTTGTGAGAAATACTGATTATCTTTAAATAGAGATCTTTTCCAATGCGTGGCTTTAAAAAATAAGTCACATGTGCACTGAGATGAGCTCAGATCTAGGTCAGGACATATTCAAGTTTATTCATTTTTCACCTCCTTAATTCAATAAAGTATTCAGTGGATCGCAGCTTTCATCATAAAAGAGGCTCTAGTGCATCTTTAAAATGTTCCAGATGTACAGATGGAAGTAGAGCAGAAAATGTTTTCCAGTGTTGAACCAATTCAAAATCATTTGTACTGACCATTAATATTGATCAGTATATTGTCTGTCGAAGGTTGAATAGTCATCAAGCATCCCATTTCCATCCATGCCATCAGCTTGGTATCCTGCATAGGCCGGGAAGCCATTCATCCCATCTATTTCTGCAAACAGTTACATGTTCTTTGGATTAGTCACTCACTCCAGCGGTCAGCACATTTCACCTCCTTTACAGGCGCCGGTTTCCTGCCGCCGTCACGACAAAGCAGACACACAAACGCCACAAACAGCAGGCGCTGCGGGGTTTTTTATAACAAAAGAAGCTGTTTTTTCTTCCTTTTAACGTCGCCAGTCAATCTGCTCAAAGCAGAGACTAAAAATTCTTAGACCGTAAAAGGAAAGAAAGGGTAAGAGAGGGAGACGATGAGGATCAAGAGGAAAAAAAAAAGCTACCAGAGATAAACAGACACCAGAATGGAGGTCAAAGGAAGAGAAGCTTTTGGATTCTGAAATACTAAATTTGAATTAAAAACGACTTGTGTTGCTAGCATAACAATGGATCTGTTTTTCTAACGGGCTGCAGGTAAATGCTAAGAAAACTCCAATAACCTCCCATTGCTGTGCGATTACCTATGAATAAGCTTCTTTTTTAAGGTTATTGTTAACTTGTATTGTATACAAATAATAAATAAAATAATCATAAAGAGGGGGGGTGGGAGTGGTGGAAAAAAAAGTAAGTAAAAAAAAGCAAACGTGCTTGATTCCTTAATTAGTTGGATAAATGACAGACATGAGTGATATGGAGGTTAGTGCAACAAAGAGCATTTAAATCTGTTGGAATTAGCAGGTGCTGATTTTCCTGATTGTCCCATTGACCGCAGCAGCTGAAATAAAGTCAGCGGGCAGCTGCAGGGGATCAACCTGCTAACGGAGCGTTTTGCTGGCGGGGAGCAGGAATGTGCTGCGCGGG